AAGTGTAGGTGTATACATGTATGCTGCGTATACAGTATACACATACTGTAAAATATACATATACATGTATACTGTATACTATATATGTAAGTTTTGGGGCGGATACCCCACTTTGTTGCAAGCATCCCATCAGCTCAATAGAGTTCAGGCTCGTGTTTCAGGAATTACGCTGCGTCAAACGCAGCTCCTAGCGAGGTCTCCGGCGTGTCCTTCATGCAAGAGGAGGACAGCGTTTTGCTCCCAATGCACCAGGCTTTGGCCAGTCCTTTGGCCACCCCAGTGTGCCTGTTGCTTGGATTGACCGGGCTCACTGTGTGGATGGAAGGGGCAGGGTTGAAGCGCCCATGACAGTCTACCTAGATGTAGGATTTCCTTTACACGTTTACGACGTTTTACGACGGCCGAAAATGGTTTTGTCCCTAGGTCACTGTCAAAGACTTGTCGCTTCATAGCAATGCTGGAACCCTTGGTGTTGGTGGGTGCTTCACAACAAGGGGGCAATTGTTAGTTAGCTTGCTCCATGAGTTGGAGAGAAAGATATGTCATGAGATGTCTATGCATATTTAAATTTACAGTGAAATATCATTACATGTTTGAGAGGATTATGATGTCTTGTTAAAGGTAGAACATACCGGGAGAAGAGAAGCGTGCTTGTGTAGAGATGTTTTGTCAAGCCCCGATGTCATCAGCTATGATACATCATAGCATGAAAAGCAGACGAACGCGACATGCACATTGCACTGCTGCAATGTGCACGGCCTCGCAATGAAAGCGGGACCCAGACCATGAACATCCATGAGCCATGCTCCTCTCCTGCGTTTTCACGGTCGATCTCGGAGTCTCATGTCCTTCCAAGGCTGTTGGCGTTCTTTACCCTTGCGATGCTTTTGGTGCAGCTGGGATGCAGGGAATTGAGGGTAGCAAATGGATGTGCCCAAACCCTCGAGATGCATTCTTTGGGGCGTGTCCTCGGCAAAGGCGCCACTGGGGTCGAGATAGGATGCCCGATGCATTTGTACCAGCCGTTTGGAGGCCGGAGTCAGAGTCCAATTTGTTGGACAAAGCCAGAAAGTGAACACATCGTGAAACCCCTGAAAGACGGGCAAACGCAAGGAATTTGGGGCGGTCCCGTGTGGCGGTCGAGCCTTCTCGCTTGAAGGCTCCCTCGGCTGAGGCGCTGCTGGATGACGCTGCGGGGCGTTCGGCCTTCAGCGCCCAAGTCAGTGGACGCTTGGTGCGTGAGCCGCCTGGAGACGCCACTGGGACTGCTGAAGAGGTCACTCGCGGTGGAGGTCCCAGGTGAATCCGACACCGGTTTGGCCAAACCTTAGAGTCCTGGAGGCCTTTGCATGAGGACTTCAAGCCATAAATAACGATGAGGGGTTACAGACTAGTTCTGAGACTTCAGGAACATCATTGGTTTGTACCAGTCCCTGCTGCCTAAGGAAGCTGTCCCTTGAGAACGAGGAAGGATGGCTTTGTGCAGAGCTGGTGGTGCCCAAGAAGAGCCACTGCACAATTTTTGTGCCTGACATCGGTCGCAATGGTGGAACAGCTGCCTAGCGGAATAGTTCAATTTTGAGAGGGGAGGACTGTGCAGCACAAACTGGGGCATGTTAAAGTGATTGATGAGGGCCTAGAAAGGCTGGCGCCTGCAACCAATTCGCTTGAGCTTTGCTTGACACAGGATTCGTTTAAATTTAAAGGCTTGCGCACTTTACACTTTTATGGCCTCGGAGGGCTATTTAAGGTCTGACAATGACATGCATACTACGTCAAAACCGTGGTCATGCCACAGGAGAAACTCGTTTCACATGGATCAACATGTTGTTTGCGGGTGTCACTGAAGCAAAAAGACCACACCACTCAGATAGTATTTGGATGAAAGATCAGTTGGATGCATTTTGTAGGTGCGGCCTTTGCAAAAGCGCTTGGGATGCTGAATGCTGACCAGGTATGGTTTCGATATGTATCAGCACGCTGCAAGATTGGATTGAGATGGATTAAGTTTTAGTGAGTTTGCTAGACCGTGGCTCTTGAATGAATATGCCTAGGCTTTGGTGACGGACAAGATGGGTCAAACCATGTTTCGCAGCAGCACAGCTGCTGGGATGCACAGTTTGGTCGTGAGGAGCCAGCCTTCTCCCAGATATGGTTGGTTTACATACGCTTGGGACAGTTTTCTCAGACTACCTCAAGCCCCAAGCTACCACAAACCCTATATAGAGTAGGTCTTTTTGGCCCTTCACTTTTGCTTCTTGATTTGGGCCTTCACCTTGACAGCAGAGTAAACAGCCTGCAACTGGCTTGCGGATGGTGGCCCTGGGGGACTCCTGAGGCTTCGTTTGGGTTCGATATGAACATCGTTGAACACTCTTGAAATTAAGATAGAAATAGCGTCCACGTGGTTCCTTTGTTCCAAGATCGGATTTTCCCGGTCCACCACCCGGTCCATCGCCACCATCCGGTCGTTGATCTTGCTCGATGCCCACCGGGATCCGCCCCAGCGAGGTGGAGGTGGATGGGGAGCTTCAGATCTCCCTGCGGCGGCCCAATGGCCAGATGTTGGCCAACGGCTCCTTTGGCGACAGCATTTGGGCAAAGTGGACACGGTGTTTGTTTTTTTTTTGTGTGTGTGTGTGCGTGACCCGCTTTGCCACAGCGATCTTCTGGCTTTTGGCTTTAGGATGCTTTAGGAATAGGAGAAGCAATCTGCTTATCAATGGAACGCTTGTGGGAGGGACCATGCAAACGCCATACTGCTATAGTCCGTCATATTGGAGTCTATCTTCCTGGGTGGTGGCCATCACAGGCTTTGGATGGAGAAGTGCGATTCTACCAGATTTTGGAGTGCGCTTGATTCTGCCTAAGTTCAAGTTGAGGGACAACATCCCAGAACGATATCAGATAGTGATAGAGTTAGAGAGAGATAGAGACAGGACACGGCAAAGACCAATTTAAATGTATACATGTTTTGAGTTTTGACGTGGGCAGTGGGGAACACCAAAAACGTCCCTTTTGTTTTAAGGAGTTTGTTCTCACCACTTTATCTAATTATCGTGCTAGTCCTCGTTCACTTGACCTGCTATGTTTCGTCTCCAAAGCGGAGTATCGGCCTCCCAAGGTCAATTGTCTGGACAGAGCTCATGTCAAATTTTCCAGGGTGCTGAGCCGTTCGCCTCAATCGACGCTTTGGAAGCAAAGAGGAGTTTGGACCCAAATTAAATCAATCACAAACGAGCTGGGCCAAAAAAGCTTGGATGGCCAGATGTCCTGCCCGGACTTGAGCAAGTTCAGAAGAATTCAAAATGCAAGCTTCAAATCGACACAACATACAGCCAGTCACTCAGCAAGTGGGCCCATAGTAAGAACAGACGATGTTCGAAGATAAGTTTCTGGTTTGCGAAGGAGGTTGACGCAAGCCGCACATGGTTGTTCCCATGCTCCCACCACCAATGCCAACATGAACTTCAAAAGCATATCAAAACATCACCTGATTCCCGCTTAATAACAAGAACAGCACGCCTCGCGGCCTCGCTCGGGTAACCCGGTTGCGATCTTGACAGGAATGGGAAGACGCTCAACGATCTTGGTTTTCCAAGTCCATGCCTGGCGCCTTCACCGTTCGTTCCTCCTCCGGTGTGGTCCTTCTTCGGGTGGAGGCGGACGCCGCGTGAAACTGGAGACACCGAACCGGATCGAACTGGAACCAGAGTGTGCCAAATTCAAATTCCCATTTCTGTTGTTCAACCATCCAGGTGACAGAGCAAACAAATGGCGGAGAGTACCCAGAAGCAGGTGATCCAAAAACTTTGCTTGAAATGTGGATAAAGCCCAAATATTACATGCCAGATTTTTGCTTTGAGAGAGTACCCCGCCTCCCACAGGGTCGGGTGTCAATAGTCGAGCCTGGTCTTCCCAACCATCATAGTCGACCAAATCCGTCGCTGATGGAGCACTCATAGATCAAAACCCATTGGGTGTCTCCCTATTCAATCCATAGACACAGCAACTCATCAAAATCTTCACGCGATGCCAGAACGTGGATGGAGCACTGCGATTTTCCGATGACTTTGGCGCCGTGGGTGTGGCCAAGCATGAGGCAGGCATCCTGCGTGTGGAGGCCGGGTTGATCGTTGGCCCAAAGAGACTTTTCAGAAGCCGCAATAGAGTTGGATGGGAGGCCCCAGCAAGGATATGAATGCACTGAAGCAAGCACGGCACGGTGTATCCAAGTAACTTGTAACCTCTTATAATATAGGAACGTATAGTAGCCGTATGTCCACTGATGTTGCTTCTTGGCCGTAATTTGTTGGCCACTGTTTTGGGTCACAGTAGTGTAATTATCCAGAATTGAGGCTTGCAGTTGGGTTGGGCACACTACAAATTTTAGAGCAGCTGAGGTGAGAAGCGAGCGCAACACTGACTTGGGGCTAGTGACACTAAGCGCTCTCTCGATCCGTTCCTTCAGTGAAGTCACTGAGAGGAAGCCAGGAGCCTTCTAAACGCCTGCGCAACTGAGCATCAAAAGGTGAGCGGCAAGATCTTATGACTATTCCACCCTGAACCAGATAGCGATGAATAGTACTCGTAGTTGGAAGGCTTGGAAGGGAATTCTCATATGAATGCACTGTTTTTTTATATATTGTTTCCGATGTTTTTTTTCTAGATTCTGTGGTGCTGCTCGTGCCATTTCGCCAAGCAGTTATTCTACGCATCGAGCAGGTGCATCGAATCCACCAGGGTTCCCGCCCTTCTTCCATTCTTTGTGTCAAATGATCATTCAGATGTACAAGCTTTGGTGGACCGCTTGTCACAAGGATCCAGTAGTAGGGGCAAGGCGAACCTGAGTCAACAAATCCTGGCTAGAACCAACTCCGCGTGCAAATGTCAACTTGATGAATCAGAGTCAGACTGGATGAAAACAAAAACATGTTGATACAACAAGGACGAGGTTTCTTCGGGGGCCTCCTCCGGCCCGTTCTTGCAGCGTCACTCAGGACCGAGAGCACCGACTTTGACCATTTGCGGCGTCAGGAGCTACTTCGAGAGGCGGGCAGGGCACCGAGTCTTTGGGGTGACAGGGAACCCACAAAAAGGCAGGCAACAACACTGTTTTGAGATATATATTATAGTAATTGCTTAATTTGTCCCTTTTGGGGTCCGAATATGTTCAAATTGATTTACTTGGATGGTCCAAGTTCAAGAGGTTCTTTCTATAGACATCCATATGGTATCAAGTGTCGATTCTGTTGGGTGGAGTTGTTTCCTTCTTTACAAGCTTCCAAGCTATCTGACCATTTCTCGTCCTAAACCAGCCGTGTTGTTCTTGAGGGTTGTGTTTAGGGACTCTTGTTTTCTTTTCTTTTTTTTGCTGAGTTCGTATTCATATGTGTGTACACCCTAATATGTGCATATACTATCATATACTATGTAGTTATGCTATGATACGGTATGCGTTTTGTGTCAAAAGGTCAAAGTTCCTTCCGCTGTGAGGTAAACCAATGAGGGAAGTCCATGGGCAGTAGCACTCGATGTCGGTCAACAATGTAGTTCATTGCAATGATTAATTGGAGGGGAAGTTGATTACTGATTATACTGCAATGCTACACTGTTGATGACACTCGCTAACCATCATTCTCGGATGTTTTTGCATCCCATGGGTAGTGCGAAGTCCATATCAACAGTGCTTTAGGTTGTTTTTTCCCCTTGTTTTGCAACTGAGATCACCTTAGTGGGTTTTCACTATAATTATCTATAAATAATATACTCATGGCATGTGTCCCAAATCTTGGGGTTGCACAGTACAGGCATTAACAAACTCTACCATACGCAGGCCAAATACCCACTGGGCATTGAGACAAAATTAAAGGGAATGATTCCGGGAGCGTCAGCCAAATGCCAGGTTCGAATGATCAAGAAGGCAATGAAGGCTCGACATCGTCAGCATTCGGGGTTTATAATATAGACCATTTGAGTGCCAAGCCTGGCATGTATACTGAGTCAAGGTGTGGAATGACCATATGAATTCTACCCGATTATTCCGGTCTTTCCTCTGACTGTGACCCGTCTTTGCCCTCTTTCTTCACCGACTCTTCCGCTGGCGATGCCCCACTCCGCAGGAAGACTTCGACCTCATGGGTGCTTTTGGCCGTTTGTTCGCCGTGCCACGGCGGTGCACTGACATCGACACGGCTGGACGTGGTGTTCTACACGGGGAAGTGTTCAAGGCTGCTTCCCACACGGATTCAGTGGCTGTGGCTCATCCCCCAAAGCTGGCCAGCTGATCTCAAGACGAATGCCATGAATCAAGATGCACCAACAAAAGAACCATCGCTTGGTTTGCGAGGCCATGGTCAACAGGTTAGGATCGCATCGCCAGGCGCTGTGTCAAGGCTTTGGGCTGGAGGAGTGCTTCCTGCGAGGATTTGGAGAAGAAGAGGAGATTTGCCGGATGCGAATTGTACCGCCTGAGTGATATAAGTGAAGGACTTCACTGGCCATTGGATGAACACAGAAGAGTCTGGCATATTGGCAACTTCCAGTGACCAAGTGCTAGATTCATTCGTGATTTGGCACCGACAGGTTACTGTAATATTCAATATGAATATGCATCATATTAATCACTAGTGAATAGTCTGAATAGTAGTGCAGTGCTAATCAAGTTGTATATATACCATTAGGATCATGGGTCCTCTGAACGGTCGAGGACAGCCGAGCTCAGCTGAAGCGCTGCCTGAAGGGCTCCCAGCTGCGCTGGAAGAGGATCTTTGGCAGCGACGGGCCGGTCAAGCTCGAGGCGGGAAGATGCCCGTGGAAGCCACTCCCCCGAGGAATCATGGATGTGCAAAACCATGTAAAACCACCGGTTTGTATAATACTGGAAAATAGTCATCCTTGCGGGGCCATCCACGTAACGATCCCGGGAACTGTATCGTCCCAACGAAAAACTCCACAGCCTCTGGCGCATCAGGTCGTTGACCGTTCCGATTCTGATCCCATCCACGCAGACTCACAGCGACAGAGACACACGCCGCCCATGAGTTCGTATTTGGGACTTCCGGTCGGTGTTGCAGGATGTTGGTATCAGAATGAAGTGCGTACGCATTTGTTTTTTGATGTCATTATATAGCATAGAAAACGAGCTGTAATAGTAATATACTCAAGAAATCTCAACCAGGTTACCAGAAGGCCTTTTCAGTGCGGTGCTCTCACTAAGTGTACTTCACACGTGTACAGTTCTCATATTTGACAGCTTGGAACCTGATGCGTGCGCAGGGAGCGGAGCTTCGCGAACAAAAGCTCGCGCCAGGTGTGCTCCGGCACAGGAGACTGGGTGGTGGCGCAGGCCTTAAAAGATCCAGCGGCCAACTGGGTGGCCAGCCACTGGGAGAAAGGGAGAGGTGCAGACGGCAGCGAGCAGACAAATGGGAGACCCAAACTAGGATCCGCTTGGATTTGGTGATCAAGTTTCCGTATTTATTTTGCGTTGATCATATGGTCAGGAGTATGGCAGTGGTGTTTGCCCACCCAAGCATGATAAAGCGGACTTTGACCGCCAAAATCGGTCAAAATAGCGAAGGAGCTTCCAAAAGACAAGGGTCGCTGGCGTTGCATTTCCGGGCTGTGTATTGGCCTGACACCTGGGTGACGAGGCTGTTTGCCAAACGAGGACGAGAGTCGGCATTCCAGCTACCAACCAGAACATCATGCAGGGGTTACACAGGTTTAAAGACCACGGCAGTTTTGTTCATTTTTGAGATTTGCACAGAAAGATATGTTCATCAACATCCCATGCACATGGAAGAGTAAGCTCATTGTACTGCAAGCAAATTCAATGATTTGCTTGCAGAAGTCACGATTTGATCAAGGTCCCCCTTTTTCAATCCAGAGAGCACGCAAGGCCGCCTGAAAGGCAATTCCTTCTATTGGCGATATACTGTATGTGCTTTTCCATGCACTGTGCACATACCTCTGGATCTTTGGTGAAAATTGCAGAATCATTCACCCGCGCTCATACTTCCCAGGAAGGTCAATAGAGTTTGCGCACAATGCCCCCACTGAGGTGAGTTACGCTATGACCGTGTTTGGAGCATCGTGACCAAGTCTGTGACATGGTGCTGACTGGAAGCGGCTCTAAACATGGTAGAAGGTGGACAAAGATGATCTCACGTGGTTGAGAAGAACTCAAATCCAGTGGATACATTGAGCTCTATTTTTCCGTATTCCGGCCGGGTCCAAGGGTTCTTTTCGTGCCATATTGACCAACCAGTTGCAGCATGCAGATGTTTAATCCTGCTGGGCATTGAGGAAAGAAACATGGTGAATAGTGACATGGATGTTTACTGTATATATATATATAACATTCAGTTGGTTGGACCTAGGTTGAACTGTTGAATCATGTTGAATCGAAGGAAAACCTATAGATATATATATATATATATCGACAATTATAAGCTTTAGAAACTTTAGTCGCTGCACATCGAACAGAAAGCATCACAGCAATGACAACACAGCACGTCATGAACCACTAACTCCGGGGCTGCTGAGGTTTTTGAGAAGTGCTCGAATTTGGCGGTCCTGGCAGGCTGAAGTGGCTGGTCGGTCGGACCTGTTCGCTGTTCGGTCTTAGGGAGTTCGCTCAACAGCACTTTACGGAGGCTTCCAGCCAGGCTTCCTATGTTGAGCTTCAGTCCAAGAAGAGTTCAGGAGAGGTCGACTTTTTTGACCGACTGCACAGGTGATGCCGGATCCTTTCTCAAGAGCATGATTCCAGAAGGCCGGCCTGTGAAAGATCCTTAGAATGCTAGTCTGGCAAGTCCATTCTACTTGACTCCGGGTGCACTGCTTCTGCTCACAAGTCGCACGTGACTCCCTTGAGTAAGGACGGTGTCAGAATAAGCGAGCGATTTTGAGCTTGGGTTATGGTTGGATTTGTCAAGTAGGCGAGTTTTTAGATAGCACCCTGCTAAAAATACCACCTGACCCAAGCCGGAAGGTTTGAGTAGTAGGGAGTGTGGCATATCAAGAAGACCTTTTCCTCCTTGTTGTTGCAACCAGCAAGCATAGCAAGCACTGTCCTGGACTGTGTGACATGTCCTTCTTTGATGTCACCGTGTGCTTGCCGGTGGTTGGACACAACTCTTGAGGCGATGACATGTCCATTCCTGGCTCCCGAAGAAGCCGTCGTGCCGACCACAATATGAGCATCATGTGTTTAGGCAACGCATCAGGTGTTCACAAGAAGCATCCAGAAACATTTGAAGATCTAAAGCAGCCTGTTATTCAGAAAGCATGGTCTTTACGGTAAACACCTTGGGCTTTCTAGACAGAAAGGATATCCTTGTGACCAGCCCATGTTCTTCCATTTTGCAGGAAGCCTCAGCACCATGTGCATCAACTTTCCCGAGCCCCCGCAAACCACCAGCACCTTGGTGACGCGCGGACGACGGGGCAGTGTTAGGATCCTTCTGCAGGTGCAAGGCAGATTGAACTCCACCGAAGGTGTACATTCTTCGGCAGATTTGTATCTGAGCGTGCGGGAGTCACTGTCCCAGGGGTGCAGCCCAGCTTCATTCCGTGGTTCCTGAGTCCTCCATCGAACAAACTTATAGTTTGGGGAGCCTCTAACTTTCAACTGACTACTTTGTTCCATCATTCTTTACAACCTGGCAATCTTCAGCTGTTGCCAGTTCCTTTGCAGCTCTTTGTGTGGGTGTAGAAGGCCATGGCCCGACTCAGCTGAAAAGATGCCATTTCATCAAACGGCCCTTGCAGTTGATGGTTCCGATGCTTCAGTATGCACAATCTTTTTGACCCTTTTGGCCCACGGTGGAATGACCTGGTCATAGTTCACCCACTTCTGGTTTGTTTCCACCTGGCTATGGGTCAGGGATGGTCAGGGTGACCTGAAATTGGAGTGCGGGAGGGGCATGCAAGGACAGTGGATCTCCTCCTTGCAGAAAACCGACTGTCAAGTGATGATTCCCGCAACAGCCAACAGGCTTTGACACATTAAACTGCCGGTGTATGCTTATGGATGAACCACCACCTACCTGGAATGTTTTCCCAGGCCTGTGTGTTGAAGACTTAGAGTAGATCCTGATCCTGATCCCAATAGAGGCCTTTGCCCTGCAACAATCCCTGCGTTTCTAGTACTATACTCATCGGTGAATGGTCAGCTTGCGGTGGATTGAAAGTAAATGACTCAAATGACTGCAGGAGCTGAAAGGTGGCTTATGTCGCCAAAGAAACACCTGGTTTACAGGGGGGAAACATGTATTTTGGAACCTCTGCCAGATCTTAAGCTCCGGCATCAGGAAATGTGCCTTGCAAGAACTGCAGCGGGTTTCTTCTTGTGGGCGAGATGGGGGAGGCTTTGGGGACTGCTGAGACGGTGGGCCCTTGAGATTCACAAACGCTGACTGAACCCGGAGTTCTCATTTCCGCTTATATATACACTCATGTGGGGTGAAAAAAGCAACCCCTTGCAACTGCTGGAAGGTTCTCCCTTAGCAAGAACTCTGCATTTTGACACTGTTTTATGCGTGTTTTACTATGGAGAGTGTGATGGTCTTTCAGCTGAGGCAACATGTGTTTATGCCTTTGTTCATGCTTGTTCATTATGTTTTCCTTGAGTGCTACACTTGGGTAGCAGTGTCACACGCAAAGGCCGTACCAGAGGAAATTATGTCCTTACTATAAATGATTAGTTAACTGACACAGGTCCTGGGTCTTGAACCAATCATTGTGCTCGGGAAGGCTTTTTGATGTTGCCCGTGAGGTACAGTGCAACTTCTGAAGCCAACTATATAAATATATATAAATAGATAGATAGATAGATAGAGAGAGAGATGTATGCTACCAATACTGTAAAGCACGATGTTTTCACAGAAAAGGTAGGTACTGATATACATAGCATGTTTTGAGGGCCCAAGTTTGAGTTCTTTGTTGGGGAGCGTTGGCAACTATCAGGCAAACATCGCAATTCTTCCACTACCCAGGCCTCCTGTGACGATGCTGAGTCCTATCTCCACCTTTTGACCTCAGAGTTCTTTATTGAAGCCCGGAGAAAAATGAGAATAAGAATGTCAAGCTATGACATGTCGACGGGTTACCACTAAAGCCTTTGGACCCAGCAGATCGCCAATCTGGTGTGATCGCATGTCTTTGGGGTTCCACCCGGATCGACCCTAATCAACCTTCCACAACGAAGACGCTTTGATATACTCGACCGTTCCACTCGGCGTTTCAGCATGGATTTGCTTGATTCTTGCCCACCTGCATTGCGGTTGCTCATGGTTGTTCGCATTTTATCTTGTGCACTTTCGGAAGGATACCGGGGCCGCTTGTAGACTTGTAGAGTGCTTTTTGGGGGGTTCAGCCTTCTAGCCTCAGCTCCATCCTTCGCTACGTCCAATTGACACGGACCTATCCACCCATTTTCGCAGCCCAGGATGCTCATTCGGCCTTGGTACCGGGGGGCGTGCGGCTTCTTGGTCCGCGCGCGCGCGCGCCGAACGCGCGGAACCCACCGACGCCCAACTCGGCAGGTCGGCAGGTCGACCGCGTGGCGTCAGTTTTGGGGTCGGACCTCAGACGTCTCTTTTTCGTGTTAAGGGTTGCCATACTTCAAGGCTAAAAGGAAAGAGGCCCAAAGGATCCACATTCATTAGCTGAGTTTGACGGATCTTTCTTGCACGTAATTATGGGATATCAATAGGAGGGATGGTTGGAGTATGGTTGGATAAGATTTTGGTGTGCTGGGATTTGCCTGAAGACACATCATTTAAGCAGTGCCGACGGAGATGATGTTGGAACAAACCCATTGAATCAAGTCTGCCGGATGTTGATCAGGAGGGAGCTCTCTCCATCAAGAAACTTACTGTATATATATATATTATCAGATTAGTTAGAGTCAACTAAGAAAGTACCCTGCCAAAGTCATAGAGCAACAGGGGTTGCTGTTGTAGTGGGTGGTATGTCCAGGCCTTCCTCCTAGAGCTGCCAGGTGTTGACCATTTTCTCGGACAATCAGGAGTACATGCGCTCATTGGCCCGAACCATCGGCTGCTTGGAGCTGTTTTGTGGTGTTTTCGGTGGAAACTCCCAGAAGCTCCAGAGAAGTTCTGGGGTCGCCCAGACACACTTTTTGGCCCAGTGCATCTCCAACGGATTAGGCTTCCGTTTCCACCCTTGCCATCAAGATCAGAGACTTTGAAGATCTTTGAGCCAGACTGCGGTACGAACACGTAGTCAAGTAGCTCCAGCATGCATGCTCATGTTCATATTGATTGATCATTGATTGACCTTATTGTCATTTGTGTGTGTGTCCTCTGACCTGTAACAATCAATAAAAGACTATAAAAGATACTCATTTTTTGAGAAAGGCCTTTATATACTAACCATCATCATCCATTGTTACAGGGAATGGGATACACCCAACATGTGGCATCATGCGGCAGGACATGAGTCCCATGGGGCGACCCTTTTTGCTTTTGCGAGACGCAAGCTGCTTGACCACTGGGCGGCTGTCTACAGTACAACATTGTTGGTTAGTTTTCCGATGCTCAGAGTCGCCCGGACCAGCCCAGATCAGATCCTCCTGCAGGTGGGTCCTGAACTGGTTCCAGAATGTTCCATAGGTTTCCTCGAACTCCAAGCTATCTAACTTGTCCTTTTGCGGATAAGTTCGGACCCCTTCATCCATCTTGTGGTTCTATGTGTAAATGATATGAATCCATTGTTCTTGCTCCCCTCCCATTATCCCAGACCATCCATGTATGGAATAGTTCATAAATACATACAACTCCATCTATTCTGACCCCAACTAATTCTAGTTTCACAAAAAAAGAAACCTTTTGGGTTTAGAACCTCTTGAGATCTTTGGAGTGATCTTTGGACATCAACGAGGCCTGCTCCGGGGACCGAGCGACCTGGCGCGCTGCTTTGAGCCCTTGGGCGACGTGCCGGCAGAGCACCTGGAGACCGCGGAGACCCGGAGAGCACGTGGCGGTCTAGAAGCAGACCATCCAAGTAGCAGCACTTGTGCACAATAGCTAAGTTTGGAAGAGCTTAGTAGGGAACGGAGTATCATGACAAAGTTTAGCCTTAGCCAGGTAAGGGGGCTGAATGAATGAATATGTTCAGTTGGGCTTGTCGCAGAATGATGGCTCCAGAAGAGAAACTCAGAAAATTCAACATCTAAGGAAGAGATGTGTGGCTTGCTCATATGCCAGGAACCTAGGGGACCTGTTCATGTGAAGGCTCAACCGTCAACGGGTCCTCAACGACCGAGTTTTGGTCCAGTCCTTTGAGCAGGAAACCGCTGATGTGTACGTGACCTTTGTCCACCTGCCGCACTTTCCATGAGGGGCGAACAGTTTTTGGAAAGCAACATGCTTCAGCAAGCAAGACGTTGGAAGAGCCTTATGTGATGTTGTAGAAGACCCATGTTTGGGTCCCTATAGCACATTAATCCAGGTTGTGGTGGGGTTGTGGCATGGGCATACTGTGTTCCGTAGTGAACAGTGCTAAGGTTATAAGTTATAAGTCAGACTATACAGACTATAAGATCATGTAGGAGACCCAAGTACGACTTCATGTTGCTGACCAAGTCACTGGAAAGCGACGTTTTTAGGCCAAGGGTGTCCGGGTGAGGAAGCTGGCCATGTGGTTCAGGCCGGGCTCAGCCGGGCAAATGGCTATGATGGGGGATGCCGATCTCCATGACCTCAAAGTGGATAACTCGGATGGATCATCCAAAATCATCCATGGTACCATCACATGTTTCTTTTAAACATAAATCATGTATTATATAGTATATCATGTCCCAACTGTGGAGGACTACCCATCATTGGTCTTTGATCATGTGGATCCAAGGGTACCAAACAAAGCATCCACAACAAATGTATGACCCCCTTGGTGACGTCGCGGCCGGGGTACGTTCAGCTCGGGTTTCAGGAGTTGAGCGGTCCGAAGCTACGGCGTCAGAAGCGGTTTCAGAGTAGGCACTGGCACCCAAAGAGGTCCTTAGAAACCACCTCACTTGGGGAGTGTGCCATCTACTATGGTTTAGAATCAACTCAACGTCCGACACGTGCATGATCCACTTCACCCTGCCTTGTCAAACGCACAGGGCCACGCCATTGGGTGCCCAACAAGAAACGCCTCGAGTTGACTGCATGACTGCATCCCTGGCATCACAGCCAGGCCTCCTCTCAGTTCGATCGCTTTTTCCAGCACGGCCAACATTTGGAGACACGGCGGCGTGCGGTGACGCTTTTTTGGGATGGAAAGGGCGATGGAGATGGTGCTTGAAGGAAGATTTGATGGCTTGGTGTCACACATTGTCATACTGCTTGGGTTTTGCCTGCAAGCCTTGTATTGACAATAATACACATGTACAGTAGTACCATATATATAGAATTGGTTTGGGCACTGTTTTATCAGCGTTGTTGTGTTCTTGGAGGGCAAACATCAATATGTGCAAATTCAGCTTGGGTGCCTTCAGCCAGACCAGCCTAGGCCTAGAACCTACTAGAAACAGAGAGAAGCCTCGTTCAGCAGATGTTGGCGGTTTCCAATGTAGTTCTTTGGTGCTGCGACTGCAAACGTGATACCCGACTATTTGCATACACCGATGGTGCCTCTCGATCCTCTCGGACACCGTTGTGTTGTGGTGCAGATTTTTTTTAGCGTGCGGGTGCAGAGGGCGAAGATTTGAGCCATGACTGCTTGAGCAGGCAAGTGCGATCCTAAACCGTTGGAGAACAACATATCATCAGTTCCTGAACATCATCGACTTTTGTACGTGCTTGTCCGACGTGAGACCCCCACGAGGGGTCTCACACCAAGCCTGAGTGTTCTGTTAGGGGATGCCAACCATCAAAGAAAAGACATCAGGGTTCCATGCATTTCTCATTGAGCCCTTCCACTGAGGACCGCTTCTACCTTGCTGTGTGCAAGGCGCCCGGAAGTTGAATGGACAGGACTGACTTTGGGGCCACTGGGCCAGATTCTCAACCTGCTAAAGCAAATCTGACAATAATAAATCTATTACATTACTGTTGTGTCCACCAGAGGTGGCTTTATTCTAGAAATCAACAAACTTGAAAAAAGAAGCAAACAAAAAGCACACCAAAGAGCAACCAAGAAAGCAAAAAAACAGCACAAAAAAGTGCAACCAAAAAAGCACAAGCAAAACACAGAGCGTAGTTTAGGGGGGCCAAGTAGGGTTAGTACTGGACAAGGATCTTTGAGGTGCCGGGTCAAGTGTCGCACTTTTGGTCGCTGTTTTTCCGGCGCCGGGTCAGAAGTCCCCCTTATCGCTTTTTGTATCTTTCTTTTTTTCGGCGCCGGGTAAAAAGTCGCACTTTTTGGTCGCTTTTTTTTTTCGCTTTATATATTTTTGTTGTTTTCTTTTTTTCGCGAGCAAAAAACAGGGACCAAAAGTGCGACTTGTTACCCGGCGTCGGGAAAAAAAAACAAAGCGACCAAAAGTGCACCAGAAAGTGGACCCTCACCCAAAAGTGCGCCAGAAAGTGCCCAAAAGCGTGCCAGAAAGTGCGCCAGAACGTGGACCCTTCCAAAAAGTGCTAAGCCCGGCTGAGTTGTTCCAGTTTTGCTTGCAATGTTGTGTGTGTGTTTTTGCTTTTATGATTGCTTGTGTTTTTCTGGCTGCACTTTGTGAGTGTTTTTTTTGCTCTTGTTGTTGCTTTTGTGATTGCTTTTGTTTTTCTGGTTGCATTTTGTGATTGCATTTTTGTTTGTGTTTCTTTCAACATGATAAACTTCTAGAATAAAGGGGTTTGGCAGACACAACATTACTGATTACTGTATCGCCTTCGTGTGATTTGAGCAGAATAGCTTTGGCTTTGTGGCAACTACAGTATATAGTCTATAATATAGTAGCTCTTTGGGCCTCCATGTTGTTGCAGTTGGCAGGGCGCAACAACAGCGACCTGCACTGGCCGTTTGCGACGCAGGTGCCCATGGAGTAGCCGCGAAGTGGCAAGATCTACGGAGCATGGAGCGAGCTCAAAAGTTGGGCTTTGCGGCCAGGGCAGCTGCTGACATGTAAAGGCGGGTTCGAAGCCCTTGGCCTGGACTGAATCCCATGAATTGCATGATCTGCAGTGTTCACCAAGAACTTCCTCTTCTGGGCACGGGTACGTCTTTGTGGCCTGATTGAGACCGATGCGTATATACAAGCATCCCATGCAGGGAGGGTGAGAATCTAAAAGGATGTCCGATTGATATATTTGGCAACGCTCATCCCAACACTGTGATGCTCCTATAGTTAAACAAGCAACAGAAGCCAGGTTTCCTTAAATACGGCCTCCCTCTTGAAGTGGACCTAAGGCTGGATCAGCGGCGGGAACAGAAGAAGCAACTCCTCATGGAGCAAACATTGGCGGCCTTTCGTCGGAAGAGTATGCAAGAAGAGCGCAGGACAACATACTGTACCGGAACAGATGTGGGGAGTGAGAGGGGGACTGTTGGTGCGCTGAAGAAGCGTCTGAATAGCAAGTGGACAGAGTGAGACCAAGGGGTGGAAGAGATAGTGCTTGGCAGACAGATGATGATGATGATGATGATGATGATGATGATGATGATGAACATGCAGTTGTTTAGGGTTTAAAGCTAGACTTTCCCTGCAGTTCTACATGTTTTTGCCAGGAACAGCCAAGCAGGCACCACCCTCTCCGCTGTGGCATCAGAGAGCTCCCCAAAGTGGGGGGGCTTGCTGCGTGGGGTCAGATGTTGGGTGATGTCTTGGTGGCGCCTGAGCTTGGCTTGCATCCCCTGGAGGAAGTCCAACTCCCGCTGCAAACTCCTGTGCAGCATGCAATCCGTTCAAGGCGAACATGTTGTATAACAATACACGGCAGTGATATGCTGGAGATTTCGGCCCTAGATGCATTTGCCTTGTATTACCACGATCACGGAATCTGAAATAAATGAAGAGCGCTGAGATGCACTGAGCATTTCAAGGGGCTTTCCATCCTTGTCATGAACCACTCGCTTGACTGCAAACCAAAGAGTGGAAAACATTTGGAACACTTAGATTTGCCCGAGGATCTCCAGAAGGGGCTAGACCACGCGAATCCATGCCATACCATCCCTGAGGTTCAGAACGTGAGTGTGCAAGATGGGAATCAACAAAGAGGTGCGCCAGGCAGACACGATGCTTTCTAGAATGGAATTTTCCAGGGAGTTGACTATATTGATGTTCACTGTAACGAGGCACACTTGAGCGTGTGTTTACTGTGGGGAAGGCCGCCCTTCATGATGCCCTCATCGGCGACCCATAGGTTTCACCCGATAGTTAGGTGTTTCACAGGCTTCAAGCACATCCGTCGGAGGATGGTGTGCTGAAGGCAGAGGTGGCACCACAAAGAGTGTGGTGCCTTTGTGTACCGAGCAAGCCGGCTTACCAAAATTCTCCCAACTTGCTTGGCAGCGAAGCCGTGCTTCTGGGGGAAAGGGTTCCTTCTGGCAGTGGTACCCCAAAGAAGGCTGAATCAGCCTGCTACTAGCCAAGACTGTGCTACTTTAGCAGCTATAGCACTTATTTCGGTGAGTTTCTTTTGCTTGGCCTGGCTAGCCAGTCCTATCACTCAGTCCTTGTTACGTAGCCACTCTTGGGTGAGAAGAGCTACATCCTAGCCAGAAGGACGCAGGTTGGTATCATGTACTTGGTTGGCAGAGAACATGTCGCCTTGAGGCATCTGAAAGAGCATGGCTGGCTCACAGCGGAGGAGAAGTAACGCCACGCTGAGATTTGGATGAGTCAAGCAACAGGAGGCTAGATTGTTAAGGATGCATTTGACGTCGGTGTCTACTCAATGACACTTCATAGGGTCTTCATAGTAGTTAACTAATATATATATAGTTACTAGTTAGATATACATGAACAAAAAGTTCAAATCAAAGTATTGACAATTGACATCCATGGGTTCCATCAGTGACAGTGAAGTGACCACGGACTCAGTCATTGTTCTGCCGGGACTTCCTGCGTGCTTGGCGGCTTGTCCCCTCGTGCCTGCGCGTGGATGTTAATAGGGCAGGCGCTCCAGATGCTGCGCAGAAGGTGAACACAAGAATGCCGCAAGAGCCTTGGAAATGCTTGCTCCATTTTGTTCCTAAGGTTCCTACCTGCGAGGACTCCAGGGAAAATTCCTGAACGTCTGTTGTGTCCTCATGTGTCCTTCTCATGTGTTCCCAGTGAATTGTTTGACCGAACGTACATAGCCCCTATTTCAAGCTGTGTTTGGAGGCCGTGGTGAGACGTCCAGCGCGGGCACCCAGCGCTCATGGGGATCGGTGGCCTCCCTTTTCGGTGGGTAGACATACCTGACATACCCCTGTCCCATGGTGATACAACATATCTTCCATGCAATACAAGAGTGTTGACCCAGGCCATATCCTCTGAAGGGGTGCGCCCCTCGAACAAAAGGTTTAACAAAACCATGAGGCCATCTTGATCCGTAGCAAAAATAGTCGGCCACACACACACACACGTTGGTTTCGAGCGGAAAAGGTGTTGAGGTGTTTCTTTCTTTCTGTTGGTTTGAGTCAGTGAGCTGAGGACGCAAGCAACAGAGGTGAAATCATTAATCAGTTGTGGTCAAGTTTGCCTCATGATGAATGATGCTGAACGGAGTCGAATGATCAGAATTTTGGCAGGTCTCGACAACGGTGAAACTGTGCAGCCCCATCTCTCAGATTGATCTTTTAGTGCATGCTGCATGACAGTGTACCAACAGTTCTGGAAAGGCTTGCCCAGAATAAACATCCCAGCTTATGGAGTTCTTGTTGCTTTTCCCAAAAATCCTAAAGTGAACTGCAACGAAGTGACATGGGAACCTCAGCTTTGATGCCTGGAGGCCTTGCCCTTTTTCCAGATCAGGGAATCCTCAGACCGGGCAGGTGGGGCGAGACCTCCCGTGCGGTCTCGACCAGCCAGTGATGGTTTTGCCGTGTGCAGAGTGGGTCGCTTGGGCCGGTGTCACGTCTTTGAGGGGTGGAAACCGGTGCAGAGTTCAGTTTTCAATAGGTTTCAGGACGGCAGGAACGGCAGGAATATAGTGACACTGCAAGAGAAGAGACAAGCTTATCTCCCCAAAATGAATGGATGGTTGGGTAGGGACATTTTGGGATTTGAAACATGTAGGGGTAACTCCTGATATTGATTCCATTTTGGCTCAAGATCAGGAGGGATGTGTTTTTTTCCCCACAACTTCATACCTCCGGAAGCGCTCAACTTCTGTTTTTTGAGCAAACAGTTCCTCCTCATCAATGGCTGATGGACCCAACAAATGCCTTCCGAAATCCCAAGTGGAATTTATATACATTGCCAAAACTGGTGTTTGTTGAGCCAGGCCATTGACTCCTTCTAAATTTTCGTTTAGTATACACAATGATGCAGCACAATATAGATATATGTGGTTGATTAGGTTACATAAGCACGCTTTAAAACACATTTTGTTTATAACTACCGGTTCAAGAGTACAGGACACTTGATCAAACTCCCCCACCCAGTATAGAACCCTATCGGTGCCCCCTGTGAAGACCTATATGAAAGTATGAAAGGGTGACATGTACTCCATAGGAGTTGCAAGGTTCTCCTTGACAAGTCCATTACGCACAGGCCCTGGTCCACATCCCCGCCGGCAGATCAGAAGGTGCCCTGCAGAGCTGGATGTGATAGGAGATCGACTATATAAATTCGGGGAGGTGCCCAATCCTGTCATGTTCCACCCTGGTGAACTTGTACTGTTTGGGAGCTTTGTGTACACCATTCACAGACTTGTAGTAAAGCTTGGGGGAATGCCAGCAAACAACACTAATTGCTTTTTGTTGCTTGCAAGGTTTAGGTGGGTTCATGACACTGAGGACATGCATGGACGACCCACGTACTGCACCCCCAAAACCATTCGGGCAGCCCGATGTACAACCGCATTTCTTGCTTGGTGATCAGACGACAATCCACACTATTGTTTGCCAAGCTGTGTATTATATATGTATTATATATTTACAAGAGAAATGATCGTACGACAACTTCAGTGGTAAAGCTCAAGCAGAAGGTACCAGATACTTTAGGACAAGGCGACATTTGAGCACTCAGCTCTGAGGAGCAAGCACACCAAACCTCATATCACACCAAACCTTTGGCCAACTTCCCGACTCTGGAGCAAATGCTGATGCTTTGAAATATGCTTGCTTGTGTGCATGGTGTGTTTTGGCTTGCGATGTTCACATGGTTTCTTGGCTCTTTGATGCAGGCTCGGTGTATACTAGCTCTTGGTGCAGAGAGGTGCTACCAGTACTGTAGGTGCACAGAGTCCGGAACCTCCGGGGATACAAACAAAGGCGCATAGAGAATTCCTACAGACGCACAACGATCATAGAGATCCAGCCCATAAATAATGCAAACAAAGGTAATGAAACCAAACATAGAGTGAACCGTCCCTCAAGCAAATGAAATTTGAACATTTCTTTTGTTGGAGCTCACTTCTGTTGGGAGCCACTCACAAGAGGGGAAATTGTTGCTCCTTGATCTGACTTCCACCATGGCCAGGGCACTCTCGCTTTTCTCCATCTTTGCCACCAAGAGGTGGCCCAGATGGACAAAGATGGCGGACAATGACTTGGGAGGAGAAGCATCAATCCCGGAACCTCATAATGTAGGTTTTCAGATTGTCGTTGCAAGCCCGTTGTTGATTGAAAGGCTTGGCTCCACAGGAATACTGAAGTCATCTGAAGTCTAGCTTTTGAATTGGTAATTATTCTCCGTTAAAAATAGTTCCCAGCGACATGTCCGAGTTTTTCCAATCCACGATTCGATGGGTGATGTGCAGGGTGTTGGTCCGTCTAGAGTAGTATATCAAGAGCAGGTGTCATTTGCAAGCTAGAATTGAGATTTTTGGTGCAGCACCCACTCCATGTGCTGCGGCCATTCCAGTCTTGAAGATTTTGCGGACCACCCTGTGATGCG